TATAGTGAGCACTATGGCACTATTATAGTTACGCTATTATAGTGAGTGCTATGGCACTATTATATTGAGCGCTATTATAGTGGCTCTATGGCACTATTATATTAAGCGCTATTATAGTGGCGCTATTATAGTGAGCACTATTATAGTGGCGCTATTATAGTGAGCGCTATTATAGTGAGCACTATTATAGTGAGCACTATTATAGTGGCGCTATTATAGTGAGCCCTATGGCACTATTATAGTGAGCACTATTATAGTGGCGCTATGGCACTATTATAGTAAGCGCTATTATAGGGGCGCTATGGCACTATTATAGTGAGCGCTATTATAGTGGCGCTATTATAGTGAGCACTATTATAGTGGCGCTATTATAGTGAGCACTATTATAGTGAGCTGTATGGCACTATTAAAGTGAGCGCTATTATAGTGGCGCTATTATAGTGAGCACTATTATAGTGGCGCTATTATAGTGAGCGCTATTATAGTGAGCACTATTATAGTGAGCACTATTATAGTGGCGCTATTATAGTGAGCCCTATGGCACTATTATAGTGAGCACTATTATAGTGGCGCTATGGCACTATTATATTGAGCGCTATTATAGTGGCTCTATGGCACTATTATATTAAGCGCTATTATAGTGGCGCTATTATAGTGAGCACTATTATAGTGGCGCTATTATAGTGAGCACTATTATAGTGAGCTGTATGGCACTATTAAAGTGAGCGCTATTATAGTGGCGCTATTATAGTGAGCACTATTATAGTGGCGCTATTATAGTGAGCGCTATTATAGTGGTGCTATTATAGTGAGCACTATTATAGTGGCGCTACGGCACTATTATAGTGAGCACTATTATAGTGGCGCTATTGCACTATTATAGTGGCGCTATTATAGTGCGCGCTAACTCAGATTCCCGCTCCTGGCGATTGCCGTCTCTAATAGAGGTTTTTCACTTATCCAGGTTTCACTTAGCCAGGTTCGACTGTATTTATTTTTAATATGTATATAATATTATACGAATTTTAAACATTGCTTAAAGGTATTGGTAATATATGTAAATTTTTAATTTTTTAATACATCGTATTATACTTTGCCAATTTATATACACATTATTTTTTAAAACCCCCTACAGTACAGAAAAAAACCCGACTCACTTTTGTTGCAACGCATTTGGAAGTCGGTCTCGAAATAAGTAATCGACAAGTTCAAGTGACTCGAAATGACTAATTGGCAACTTCAAGTGACTCAAAATAAAAAGAATGACAGGTTCTAGTTTTTGTGTGTGTGTGTTGTGTTGGCAACAACTGTGGAAAATGTCTGCTGCGCGTTGCGCCGTTACTTTTTTTGTGTTTCGCATGTTTCGTGTTACATGCACTGAAAGAATTTAAGGCAGGCTGCTGGCTTTTCATGTCCGAAATTAGTGCCCCTTGCTCAGGGCTTGCAGCACACCTCAAAAAAGCGACCATCTACTCCCGAAAGGTGACCCGTGTAGAAATTTGTCGTGGCCTTCCTAGAAATAGACTACACCCAAGTAGAAATGTAATACTGGCATAGTACTGATCTTGTACTGACTGCCAGTATTGCAGTACTGACTCCAGTACTAAGTCAGTACTGGGAAAACCCTGGCTGGTAACGCTGTCCAGTACTGATTTTTACCGGCGGTCAGTATAAGCTCCTTATTTAATTATTAAAGCATGGGGAGTAATTTATTGAATACTAATAATTATTATTAGTATTAATTATTATTAATTAATTATTAGAATTCCTTTTATTAAAATAAGTTTTAAAAAAATATTTTTCTTATTTTTTCATTATTTATTTAAATCTTATTTATTTAAATTAATGACTAAATTATTATTATTACTGGTTATTAATTATTTAAACTTATACTTTATGTAACACTGTTAAGAATTATACACAAAACACTTAAAACTAAGACGGAAAAATATCGCACGCACGGGGGACCGAACCCTAGACCTCGAGGACGCAAGTCGAATACACATACCGCATAGCCACGCAAGCTCGGGAGTTATCTCGCATAAACTTCCTTTTGAATTGTGGGGCCGATATATACAGTGCTTTAATAATTAATCCACTGCATATTATATTTATTTCAAGAAAAATTATTATACATATATCTTTATATACATTTTATCAAGTCATTATGTAGTAATTAATAGATACATCATAATAATATGGTAAAAATTATTAATATAATTATTTATTTATTATTTATAATCTAATTATTTATTAAAATAATAATAAAAAAAATTTATTTAAGAAAAATTTTTGTTAAATAAATAAATAAAAATATATATACAGCTTTAAAAAATAAAATTTTTTTTATTATTAATAATACGTAATAATTCTAAAAATAATTAATTAATAATAATTTATTATTATATTATTAAAATATATCTATTAGTTAATAATAAATTAATAAAATGTTTGATATTATTGTTGATGAATAATGTTTTTACAAATCTTTGCAAATATTTTAATTGTTAATAAATCAAACGATGTTTAATGTTTAATTACATTATAACAAATTTTGATTGTTTTTTTAACTCCTTCGCAGTACTGATTTAGTGTTAAGCCAGTTTTCTGCCAGTACTGATTTTAGAACTTTTCTAACTCCGACATAGTACTGATTCGGTTTTGGAGTCAGTATACTCCCAGTACTGATCGGGTTCCGAAAGTCAGTACCGACGGTCAGTACTGAGTCAGTACCATGTCGGTGTTTAACTCCGTCCTAACTCCGGACATTTCTACTTGGGCAGCTAGATAGCATTTGTCGTGGAAAATTATTCTGAAAAAACTGTCCTGGCCCCGAAATGTTAATGTACAGTTTTCTTCTTTATTTTCTTCGCTATGAAGACAGTCTAAAATCTGGCTAAAATTTGTCTAGGATACTGAATTGAAAATTCAGTACAAGTTCGTATAGCAGGTTGTCCAAGAATTAGCTAGGTACTGTCTAGGACGCTGACTTAAGAATTTAGTACAAGTTCGTGGAGAAGGTGGCTCTGAGAGTCTACTAAGCTACACGGAAAAAAATAGTGTGCTAAAAACACATGAGCGAAACTGTTGTGTATATCGCACGCACGTTGAGTATATTCACACACACTACCATGCGTGATTTGCTTGGAATCCATCCTATTTTCGCATGGTGCCTTAGCGAAAGCCACATGAGCCATGGCTTTTACTACAACACCATGCGAAAATAGGATGGATTCCAATCAAATCACGCATGGTAGTGTGCGTGCAATATACGCAACAGTTCGCTGTGTGTTTTTAGCACACTATTTTTTTCCGTGTAGCAGACGAAATCAGTTCTTGACGTAGTGCTTGATGAAAAGAAACCAAGAGTCTACAATTGTAACATATCTTGTTGTGAAGATAAAATCAAATTTATAAATCTAGTGAAAAGTTTTCAGTTTTCCATTTTTGAACAGGGACAGTGTTCAAGTTTAAATATGTGACGCTCCACGAGAAAAGGGACCTTATGACAAGAGTAAATAAGGTCCCTTTTCTCGTGGAGCGTCACATATATTACAGCGAAAAGAAGATTTATTAGAAAAAGGACATGTGATGTCATCATTCATAGTCTCAGATTGTTTTTCATATTATAATGTTCATAATAAGTAATAAAACTTTGGTAATTTTAAGTGAATTTTTTGTGATTGCAACAATATAATATACAATTAATTTTATTGTCGGTATACAAGTACGAATCTTTATAGTGAATGTGTTTGTGTTTTAAAGAAACAATCCAATGTAGCAAAATATGTTACAATTAATTTCAAAAATAATTGTAAGAGGAATTGTGATAATAACAAATACTTTTGTATTACTCTTTTGTAAGTTTAAAAGTTAAACAAACAAAAGAGTAAAGTTGAAAAATATTCTTTTATTATTTATAAACCTAACAATTATTCCCAGTATGTAGAAACTGCTTATTTTAATATCCAGGAATTGGCTAGGAATTATTTATTTTACTAGACAAGGACTAGACAAAATAACTGTACAAAATCTTGACGTTGCTAGCGTTACATCCCTCGTTCAAGCCTGTCCATTTTTCCCATCTGGTTGCTAGATTGAATCTAGCGCAACTGGACAGTTTCTCATACACTTCCACAGTAAATTTCTACACGGGGAGCTGCTGCCCCTGAGGAGTTGCTGCTTACCTTTCGGGAGTAGATTCTCGCCTTTTTGCGGTTAACTGCGAGCTTGAGGCAGCGAGCTCTAGCGGCACTCATGTAAAGCCTGCAGCCTGCCCAAAATTCTTTTAGTGTGGTTGCCATCCCTATCAGTCAATTGACAAGTATCTAACCTAAAAATTTGTTTTTCATTTCTCATAAATGCGATAAATCGACTTCAAGTATTAATGTTTTGACAAGTGCAACGTGTTTATTCATTATAAACAATTATTTTAATTCATATTTTTATGAATTATTCCTAGTTATTCCAATGTTATTGTAATTTTAGCATAAATCCAAAATGATACCGCTTTTACTCATTTTGAGTCTTTTCCCCAGAAACTCAGAATGAGTCGAAGGGGTATCATTTTTGTTGCACTTCAAAATGAGTATCATATGCTACTCATTTTGAGTTAGTTTTTTTCTGTTTGAAGAAAATCCTGCGCACGGGCCTAACCCGTGCATTCATATCAGTGCTGTCAAATAATGCACAAGAATTTCTCTAGTGTGGCCACCTTAAGGCTCTGGACACCTTGAGGCCCTCTACCCTAATTAATTATTATATTATTAACATAAGATTACCTAAAATTAATTAAGCCAAATAATTTTTATTTTTATCAAAAATCCATCTATTTGAGTGAAATAAATAAATTAATAGTTTCAAATAACTCATTTATTATCGTTTAAATAAGTGATTTATTTCATTCAAATATTTTTTATTTGTTTTTATTAAATAATTTATTATTATTAAATAGAACATAAATAATTAATTAATCAGAACGAAAATACAAAAGGTCTGCATTTGGCCATATATCCCACCTGAGTGGGTAAGACGCCCCCCGCGGTAAGTTATTATTATTTATTACAATAATTATTATAAAAAATGGAAAACGCCGATCTAATACGTTTCTCTGATTAACCCTTAAACCGCACACTTCCGAATCCATCCTTAAACCGCACACTGGGTGTGCGACACCCGGGGACTTTAAAGTGTGTTCTCCAAGCTGGAAAAGGATATTATGGTTCAGAAAAATTATCTTATGTAGCTCAGTACATCTATTTTGAAGAAAAATAAGTTTCATAATGATTTATTTAATCTTAATATTAAAAAAAATGTTTTTAAAAACTACTGAAATCACCTTAAACCGAAAACTGGGTATCAGCCACCTAGAAATTTTTCGCTGTTAATTTCATAAAGTTATCAAATACACAAAGACACTTGGGTGACTAATGTCCCTCACGGAACATAAAGTTAAGTACAAAATGTGTCGTCCAATAGCGACATATGTTCATTTTTTACGACTTTAAACGAGATATTAGAGTAAAAAGCTAGAATATGGGTGTCGCACACCCAGGGTGCGGTTTAAGGGTTAATTTGAAACAAGAAAATAATTGCAAATATTTTCTTACGTGTTAAATATCCTTGATTCTTGTAATAAGAAATTTTGTCCAGTAGTTTGAAAATTTTGGGCATTTTCAGCAATCTGAAATTTTTACATTATTACACCCAGAGAAAAATATTATTTAAACCAAATATATTTTAATTAAGTTAAATAAACGTATATTTGTCTCAGAACCTACTAGACTTTTTATTTCTTTTAAATAAAAATTTTATTCGACACAAATAAAACATATGGGCAATTCCACGTGAGATTTAAGTCGACCTCTTAAAATCGGCCAAAAATATTTTTTTTCTATTCTGTATCGAAAAAAAACAGATACGTATTTTTTTATTTATGTTTAATTGTCCAAATTTTCGAGTTATGAATTTTCGAAAATTTGGACTTTTATTGTAGACCTATATTCAGTAGCTTATAAGTCCGAAAATATTGAGTTTAGGAAAAAGTTGTCAAAGAATGAAAGTTTTAGTTTTCTTTCGACTTTTAAGAAATGTAAACAAAAAATTTTTTAAAAATTTTTTATTGAAAAAAAAATTTTTTTTAACTTTGGACCGGATTTTTTTTTTATTTTTTTGTACCTTATAATATAGAGAAGATTTTCCAAAAAGCTCCGAAATGGGCTTGATGTGTTAAATGAGTTTTAAAATATTTTCAAAAATCAATTGCAAGCATCACAGTGGGATTTTTTTACAATTAACTTTCTAAAACTGTCTACAGCGTATAATTTTTAATATATTTGAGTGTTCTTTGTTTTAAATAAAACGGTCTACGCTGTAAACAGTTTTAAAAAGTTAAATGTAAAAAAAATCCCACTGTGATGCTTGCAATTGATTTTTGAAAATATTTTAAAACTCATTTAACACATCAAGCCCATTTCGGAGCTTTTTGGAAAATCTTCTCTATATTATAAGGTACAAAAAAATAAAAAAAAAATCCGGTCCAAAGTTAAAAAAAATTTTTTTTTCAATAAAAAATTTTTAAAAAATTTTTTGTTTACATTTCTTAAAAGTCGAAAGAAAACTAAAACTTTCATTCTTTGACAACTTTTTCCTAAACTCAATATTTTCGGACTTATAAGCTACTGAATATAGGTCTACAATAAAAGTCCAAATTTTCGAAAATTCATAACTCGAAAATTTTGACAATTAAACATAAATAAAAAAATACGTATCTGTTTTTTTTCGATACAGAATAGAAAAAAAATATTTTTGGCCGATTTTAAGAGGTCGACTTAAATCTCACGTGGAATTGCCCATATATTTGAGATAAATAAAATTTTATTTAAACCAAATAAAATTTATTTCAAACAAATAAAAAGTCTAGTTGGTTCTGAAACAAATATACTATTTCTCTGGGTGTATAACTAATAACCCCGGGGTGCCAGCCAGCTGGAACTTTATAGTAAAATTGTTATGGCCAATAGGTATAAAAAAACTAATAATCCATAAATATAGTTTCTTTCATATTGAAGATCTAAGAAAAGGGGCATCTATCCGCACTTTACCCTATTAGATTCGAATATTTTTTATTTGTTTTTATTAAATAATATATTTGCATTAAATAATGAATTATTTGAATTAAATAATTTAGTTTACTTGATGCGGTAAAATAAAGTAATCGAGTCAAATAATTTTTATTTATATCAAATATCCAATTAATTGAGTAAAATAAATAAGTTAACTCAAATAACTTATTATTTGTGTTAAATAAATTCATTTATTAGATTCAATTAATTATTCAATTGGCCCAATTAAGATGTATTTCATTTAAATAAATGTGAATCAAATAAATATTTTTGAAATAATTTGAATTCATTGAATCAAATAATTTTTTTATCAGTCAATTCAACTTATGGAATAAATAAAAAAATAGAGTCATTTATAAGTGGATAAGAATATTTAATAACCCAGGTAGAAATTGACTATAGGCACATTACTGGTTCAGTACGAAAAAATTTCAACCAGTATTGACTTTCATACTGGCCTATTACGTGTCCAATATCCCCGGTAAGAAGAGGTTAATTAAAATAGATTAAAATGTATACAAATATCGTTAAATTCTGATTCGTTTTAATGCCCAACTTATGTCATTTTTTAAGTTCCATGTTTTAATTCCTTTAAAGATAATTCATCTGCACACATTTATATTCTATTTAATTTGGTATGTATTTTACTTCTTATTGGGTAATTAGAATTGAAAACAATTTAATTCTGTTTAATACCATACAATTTGCAATCATTAGAATTCCATTTATGACTTAAATATTGCTGACACTTTAATTCATTTTAATGAAAAGGTAATAAAATGCATTAAAATGACTGCATATATGGTCAAAATTCACTATCCTTTTAATGCCAAACCAATATCATTTTTGAAATTTATGTGTAAACATTTTAATCGGTTTTAATCAACCTCTTCTTACCGGGTCGGCAGGTAACGCCTCTGGCTTGGGCTTAGTACTGAAAATCAGTAATGTAATAGTACGGATTTTCTGTTCCGACCAATAGTAGACCAGTAATGAAGCAATGCTGCGCTGGAGAAACATAACCCCTAAACATTCACTATGTAATTTCAAAATCTAAAATTTGGAAAGAAAAATTAGAAATAGACAAATTAGGATGTTGGAATTTTATTTTGAAATAAGAAATAAAATTTACTTTTAAGGATTTAGTCTGTAATTTGATATTACCCAATGGGAAAAAAACCATTGGCGCATTAATGGCCCAATAATGGGAGCCACCATTCCATTATTGTCCCATTATTGGCACCCAATAATGGACCACTAATGGTAAAATCGTGGGATGTCCACGCCGATGCCAATAATTGGCAAACCATTATTGGCACATTATTGGCTGCCATTAAAAAACCAATAATAAAAAAAATGTTTTTCATTAAATTTTGTTAAATAATAAATTTATTTATTTAATAATTATTTTATTTATTATTATTATTATTTATTATTATTAAAAATATTAATTTTTTTTATTAATTATTTTATAGAAATGGTTATTATTTTCTATCACATCGAAATGTGAATAACCCTTTCGTTCAGAGTATAAAAATTATTTACCTCACATCCATCAGTGCAAAAAGAGGAGAGGACGGGCAGAATAAAATTCTACAAATATTCGTGAGAATGCTGCCTCCTTATATACTTTTCAAGTTTCATGTTAGTTCCGAGAGAGTTTCGCGCAACACCTCCTATGGGGCGTTGAGCGAACTACATACTTACTACATGATAATTTCTGCAGCGTCGGTAAGTAATTGTATGTAGTTCGCTCAACTCTCCGCAGGAGGTGTTGTTTCAAACTCTCTCGCAACTAACATGAAACTTGAAAAGTATATAAAGAGGCAGCATTCTCACGAATATTTGTGGAATTTTATTCTGCCCGTCCTCTCCTATTTTTGCACTGATGGATGTGAGGTAAATAATTTTTAGACTCTGAACGAAAGGGTTATTCACATTTCGATGTGATAGAAAATAATAACCATTTCTATAAAATAATTAATAAAAAAAAATTAATATTTTTAATAATAATAAATAATAATAATAATAAATAAAATAATTATTAAATAAATAAATTTATTATTTAACAAAATTTAATGAAAAACATTTTTTTTATTATGGGCTTTTTAATGGCAGCCAATAATGTGCCAATAATGATTGCCAATTATTATATCGGCGTGGATATCCCACGATTTTACCATTACACTGAAAAACTGCAGTATTGGACTAAACATCTGGAGGGACAAATCGTTCATATTTGATAGTTAGCTATTGGATAACAATCTAAATGTTCAAATACACCATTGACAGATATTCCAGCCATTTCTCTTGGAGGGAAAATGAGTTTATAACAGAGGGACAAATTAACCATCTTGAGAAATTCCTTCCTTATCCGTCGCGAAATGAATAAATATGGCAACCTAACCCCTAAATTAAATACATAAAATGTCAGAAAAATAATTTCGCGCGCATCAGATCGTACACATTTTCTGCGCAACTTTTAACCTTCAGATATAATGGGAGAGAATATACAAGTAGATTTTCCTTATCAATTCCAAATTTATTTTAGAAGGACTATTTAACTCTCTTCATAAGCAAAGGAAACATACACTTTTTGAACCTCTGAATTTGACTCTCCAGTTTTCTCAGTGCAGTGGTCCATTATTGGGTGCTAATAATAAACCAAGAGAAAACCAATGGCTTCCAATATTGGGCCATTAATGCACCAATGGTAGACTAATGGCTATTTCCCATTGGGTACTTAACAAGAATAATTATGTATTCACATGAACTTGAAATGTGTTATAATAAATAGTTCTGTTTTACTTTTTTTCATACGAATTCGTGTTAATCCATTTATTTTGTAATTTGTATATTTATTAAATAATAATTTATCATAATAACTGGAAACGGTAATAGGTAGTAAAAATTTTCTACCGAATTAAATTTACAGATAACCTAAATTCTAAACTTTGATGGGATTAGAAAAACATTGACATATTTAAAGAATTGAATATAGAATGTTATTAAATAATAAATTAAAGTTATAGTAAAATTATTTCTATTTGATGTAATCATACCCAGATAGCAAAGTGCGCGCATAGTGACGGACGCATGCTCCCACGCGTGCTGATTAATCCGCACGGCGTGCGCTCCTTTGAGCACACAGATGCGTCCTTATATGCCACGCATGGTGTGAAAGTCGCACGCGTGACGGCAAACAGCTTGTGCATAATGTGTGTGTCTTTATTCACCACATAAAATTAGTATTAAAATTATACATTTGAAATTCTGTTTAATCAATATAAATGCGTATTTTATACTGAAATTTAGCATAGGTATAATACTCCTAAAGTAAGAATTTATATTATTAATTTTAAAATCTAATCTTAAAGTTAAAAATATATACTAAATAATACTAAAAATATATTATTATCTTAAGAAAAACATATTCTAAACTGAAAAAACTTTTTTGGTTTAAATTAGTGATTTCTTGCATATTATCAAATAAGTATTTACTTACACTTTGGTGCAAGTAAATATTCATTTGATTTATTTATACACTGGACAAAGATTTTCTTTGGTCCCGAAGCTATTTTCGAAATTAATTAATTTTAAACTTTTCACTATTTTTATCACGTTAATACATGTGATTTTTAAAGGAAGAAGTTAGGTGAAAATGGTGAAAATAATTATATATAATTATAATCATTAATTATAACATTCCCAATTTAAATTTTTAATTAATAAATATGTAACTTAAATAATTATAAAAAATAATAATATTGTTTTTAAATTAATAAAATTTAAATTAAATTTAACAGTTACTAATGTTTAATTAAAAATATAATAGAGTGTTTCATGAAATAAATTTAAATTTTGATTTATATTTCGAAAACTGCAGCATTAGATCGGTTTACTATTATTAGGTAATTAAGGCAAACCTCTCGTCTAGGATGAAACAACACACGTGCTATTCATTTGGCATCTGCAATATCATTCGTGCAATGAAAAACAAAAGCAAATATACATACACGCAATTAATGTTTTAATCCACATCCTATTTTACATATCTTTTTTTACAATCTATGCGCACAACCAATAAAAACGTATTTCCGATAAATATTTCTTTCATATATGTGTATATACATTTTTTTAGTTTTTCAATTATCGTTTTAGTCCCAGTGTTAAAAACGAATACAAGTATAGATAATTCGTAGTTATTATCGGTTAACGAAAAATCACGAGCTCGTTTGCTGACCGTCATTGACGTAAAACGACCCTGACGCAGGTTCTTCGCAGTACTATTTCTAGATATATCATATAGAATTGTACGAATACGTGCACATTCATCTTTATATTTTCTTCGATATATATATACATATACAATATAAATACAATTATTTTCATCAATTGCCAGCGGCAAATGCTTTTTTCGCTTTCTTAATCACAATTTGAAACATGCAAAGAAAACTTGAATCTTTTTTTTTCCTTTGTGCAAAGCCTTTGAAAACCCAGTAAAAAAAAACTAATTCAAATAAATTGAAACGAATTAACATTTTTGGTAGGCTCCAATTCGTATTTGTAACAAAGCAGGATTCACTCAAGCTCTTTGTATATTCAATTGAATTTAATTCAATATGTACCAATTTGTCCAACCGAATTCGCATTCGAAAGAAATGGCCAAGGAATGCATTGAATTCGTGCTAACGAATTGAAAAAAATTAAAGGCTCAAAACTTGTCCAGTGAATTGGTACGGATAGAAGGTTCGGAAGTTCAAATACAGTTTCACGAATTCAGGAAAATTGCATCATGGCTCCAATTCGTATTTGTCACAAAGCGGGATTCACGAAAGCTCTTTGTGAATTATTTTTAATTCATTTGAATTAGTTTTCGTTTACTGGGAAGTGCAGTTGATAAATAAATAAAAAAACGAAAAATAGAAAACAAATTCATAAAAGCATAAATACCTGAAATGGAGTTATATATTAGATAAATATTCTATTTATACACGGAGAAACTTTTAATACCACTAATTCTTAAAACTGGTGAGACATTTTAGTATGTTAGGTTAGATTCAAGGGAAAAACGACATAGGTTATAGAAATTGCTATTGAGACTATCAAAAACACTCTTTCAGTATATATTTTACAGTTCTTCATAAGGAAACTTACGAAAATTAGTATGTTGTTTTAGAAAGAAAATAATAATTTTTGCAAAGTTGGGAAAGCCATGAATTAAAAAGAAACACAACAAATTAATTGTCTATAGATACTCATAGAGACGATAGTGATACTTGGATCTGATGGTAGATGGCATTAGTGTATGTCACTGTAACTGTAGGTAAATATATTTAACACGACGTAAGAACCTAACCTATATTATTAACGCACACACGCACACGCAAGTAAAGACACGACGATTGGTCACGGAAACCGAAAGATCGCACGATTCGTTAGAAGTACACAGCTGAATCGTCCTTATATATTAAACGAGTGGAAAAATATGTGCCTTCGAGAGAGAGCATTTTTTAAAATAACTTACTAATCAAATTATGTAAATAAGTAAAAGTCGTGAAAAAAATTATGTTATATTGAGGAACAGTTCTTGAATTTAATTTGGCATGAGGAGACATTCACGTTTATTAATAAAAGGTTTTTTTCTTTCATACACGTGTGAATTTCAACTTCGAAAACATTAGGGTTAGTTCGCGACGTCAGGTGATGGACTCGGTGATGCTCGGGCGAAATCGGTTAAGTCCGCACGCAGTCCTTCCAAAATTGGTATGTTACGTTAGAATGTCTGTTATATATTCTATCTATATGTGGAAAAAAGGTTAGAATTACCGTATTATTTCACAAACAAAAACTAGCATTTTATTCTTTTCTAAAGAAAAATAAGACTATTTCTAATGCAGATAGTAATTTTTGTACACCGAAGGTTGCTTAATATATAACGAACTTATCATATTTTCGTATTAATGTTGAAATTATTAGCACAACGCACGAAAAATCCTCACATTCTAACGTACTTTTAGAATAAAGATAACCAAATATATTTAATATTAGAAGAAAAAGTTTCTCCGTGTATAAATCGATATATTTTGGAAATAAAAAATAATACCTATAATTTTTTTCCATTTTGTAGTATTCTTTGCTGTATAATAATACAGCAAAGAATAGTAGAAAAATTTTAAAAATCGAAAATTTGTTGTGGTGTCTTTAAGGCTATGTCCAAGTTGTGAAATGTAAACAAACTAAAAGGTTACTACACCAGCACTAAAAACGCAATTTTGCGACATCCAATTCTCCTACAAAAAATAACATTTTTACACTTTCTTTACGAAAATGGTAAATTAGAGTATCCAAGTTTCCAAAAAAATCATTTTTGACTATGAGCAATAAAAAGCAATTAGTAAAATAACTAATTAAAATGACCTGTAAAATGGCATTTTTGACGCGTCGCGAAAAATAAACTGTTTGAGTATATCAACCGCACGGATGATGAAGAAGTTCCATGTCAGCGATTGGACCTTCAACATGTGGAAGGGTAAATTTTTCCCTTTCCTCCTTGAAATTACAAGAGAAAGGGTAAAAACTTCTTCATCGTCCGTGCGGTTGATATAGTCAAACAGTTTAATTTTTCGCGACGTGAACTCTGCTGCTCGCTGCGCGTGCGCAGACCGTACCAAGGTCGCAATGACATCACCATGCAAAAAGGCACATTCTCTTTTTGACTGAAACTCAGTGGTTTTCTAATTTTTTCAGTTATTTCAAGTTTAGTAACCAAATTCGATACTTTAGTTCACCATTTCTATAAAGAAAATGTGAATTTATCTTTATTTACGCAAATGGGAAGCGCGAAAAAATGTTTCATTATAGACCGAATAGGGAAGCATTTTTTCGCTGTTCCCATTTGTGTAAATCAATAAAAAATCACATTTTCTTTATGGAAATGATGAACTAAAGTATCAAATTTGGTTACTACACCTTGCATAGTTGAAAAAAATGAGAAAACCACTGAGTATCATTCAAAATCAAAACTAAGAATGCATTGACAGCACCATGCGAAAATGCACATTTTGTTTTCGACTGAAACTTAGTTATTTTCTCATTTTTTTCAGCTATGCAAGGTGTAGTTACCAAATTCGATACTTTAGTTCACCATTTCTATAAAGAAAATGTGAATTTATATTGATTTACGCAAATGCGAACAGCGAAAAAATGCTTCATTATAGACCGAATAGTGAAGCATTTTTTCGCTGTTCCAATCGCTGACATGGAACTTCTTCATCGTCAGTGCGGTTGATATACTCAAACAGTTTTATTTTCGCGACGCGTCAAAAATGACATTTTACAGGTCATTTTAATTAGTTATTTTACTCATTGCTTTTTATTGCTCATAGTCAAAAATGATTTTTTTGGAAACTTTGATACTCTAATTTACCATTTTCGTAAAAAAAGTGTAAAAATGTTATTTTTTGTGGGAGAATTGGCTGTCGCAAAATTGCGTTTTTAGTGCTGGTGTAGTAACCTTTTGGTTTGTTTACATTTCACAACTTGGACATAGCCTTAATTTAAATTTTGAAGGCGCAGACACAGCTCGGTGGCTGCCTGCCTGACTGCAGGAGTTGTCAAGGAGAGTCCAGAATAGAGTCGAAGTCGGTATGAACGCGCTGATATTAACGCGCTTGTCCATATGGAATACATAGGACGAGCGCGTTGTATCAGCGCGTTCATACCGACTTCGACTCTATTCTGGACTGTCCTTCATGGTAATACATGAGAGTATATATAAGAGAGCCAGAAAATTCAAATTAAGTGTGTAAGGTGTGAGTGCGCCATTAAAATGTTGCATATTTTTTTCTTTAATAGAATTCCATCAGACGCATCTTTTAACCCCTTCACTGCCAGGTAAACAAATCGTTTTCGGGCTGAAATTTTTAATGTCAGATATCAAATATGAGAACCAAATTTTTTTGGTTGAATTTTTCAAATCTGGTATCAAGTTTGGATTCAACTACCACAAAAACTCCCCAAATACCGCATTTCGATCGAAACGCATAAATTTTTTTAATTTTCTGCCATATTGGGTTGCCATATTAAATCCGACGTTTGAATTTTATAAAGCTGATATAAAAGGTGGATTCAACAATCTCCAAAAACCCCCACATAACGAACTTCATAAGCAAATCTTGTAATTTAATAAAATTTTTGGTCTCCATTATATTGGATTCTCCATTTTTAATATTTTTATATGGGTCATTACGCAATCCAAGAGGTTAATCTATTAGTGAAAATTCAGTTGTATAATTCTATTTCGAGTAAAAAAGTTTTAAAAAATCCGAATTTTTAAAAATTTATTATTTTAATGTTTATGGTTTTAAATTTCAATGTAAGTGTTTTTTAGATTTGTGATTTTTACTTACTATTATTTCATCATTTAAAATTCATGTTATATTTTGATCTCTATGAAGAAATACTGCATTTATCAGGTAAACCCAAAAATATAACGCATCCAAAATGAAAAAGTAAATTCAAAATGGTGAATCCAGTATGGCGGACTCCTTTCCGAACTTCTATTCCGTTTTCATTAATAGGCAATTTTATTTGACCATTACTATTCGTGGCATTTCATCCAAGCAGTCCTGTTTACTGTGATAGCGGTATATTCATCAAGCTTGTAAATTGAGCAAATAATTTCAAAAAAATTTTGAATAATTGGAAGTTTTACCTCTTATCGTGTACTAAAAGCACCCAAAGTTAGAGAATTTTAAATAAATTTTAAGGATGTCCCAGTGCTAAACTTGAACAGTTCAGTTTCCCAGATCGTAAAGTCCATCGCACAATAGGTTCGCGAAAGTCGTTCGCGAACGAGACGCATGAGATAGACAAGGACACAAATATATCTCTGTCCTTTTCTAACTCATGCTTTGCGTTCGCGAACGACTTTCGCGAATCTATTGTGCTTAGGCCTTTAGGGTGATACCACAGTGGGACCCATGTTGCGCGAAAGGTTAGGTGAGGTTATTACAGAACTGTCACGGTACTGCTCGGATGAAATGCCACGAATAGTAAGGGTGGAGTTCCATGACAGCGTCTGCGTTGCGTCTTAATGGGAGAGAAAAAGACGCAAATATACGTTTGCTGCATTCTCTCTCATTACAACGCAACGCAAAACGCTGCCATGGGACTGCGGCCTAATGGTCAAATAAAATTGCCTATTAATGAAAACAGAATAGAAGTGGAGAAAAATATGAACGTACCCTTACTCACTACAGATTTTTAATTAGAACGGATCACAACTGTAATACTTTATTAACTAAAAAAATGAATAGTATATTACGATACTAGGCCAGAAAGTTGGATTTCCTGGCCGGCGTGATATATAAGGCCGAGGCGAAGCCGAGGCTTTATATATCACGCTTTCTAGGGTATCCAAATTTCTGGCCGTGTGTCGTATACAATTTTTCTGTATCCCCAGCCGAAAGTACGTTAAATAATTATT